TGAGAAGATCTTCCTAAACAGAGTAAGAGGGTCCTAGCTACTGAAGAGACTGAGACTGAGAGGATCTTGGTTTGAAGTCAGGCCAGGCAGAAAAGTTTAAGAGAGTCCATCTCCAAGATAACCAGCAAAAAGCCAAGGTGGACATGGCTCAAATGATAAACATTCACTGTACTTGAAAGGGTTTGAGACCCTGAGTTCAAACCTGGGAAGGGGAGACAGAGACAGAGACAGAAACCAGAACATACTATACCACACACACACACACACACACACACACACACACACACGTGTGTGTGTGTGTGTGTGTGTGTGAGTTTTGGAGCTTGAACTCAAGGCCTGGGCACTGTCCCTGAGCTTCTTTTGCTCAAGGCTAACACTCTACCACTTAAGCCACAACTTCACTTCTAGATTTGTTGGTAAGCTTAGTGGAGGTAAGAGTTTCACAGACTTTCCTGCCTAGGCTGGTTTTCAACCATGATCGTCAGCTCTCAGCCTCCTGAAAAGCTAGGATTACAAGCATGAGCCACCAGCATCTGGCTACCGATAGATCTCATGAGCAGTCTTGGCTCCAGCAGCAGCACCCCTAGAAACACAGATGCTCAGACTCTACCCCAGATGTCATCGCCACTCTAGGAGTGGCCCAGACCCACATGAAGAATCCCTTTGGGGATCCCAGCAGCAGTCACACCTGAGCGCTGTGGCTTTGCAGCCTGGGGTATGCCAGAGCTGTGTTCTACAGACCTGAGTACAGCACTTTTGCCCCACAATATCTCGAGATTTGGCAAATTAAATCAAAGAGAGTGTCTTTTCTGCCTGAACCACATGGCAGTCTCCTTACGGGAAAGCTTCCGAACTGCCAAAAGCCAGAGGAACTCCCCCTCGGACTTCTTACCTTTCCCATTGCTGGCTTCACATCCACCACACCGTATGCCACATGGGCCTGGGGTAAGAAGTCAGGACATCCGTCACCCTTAGAAGAAGGGGTGGAAGTCTACCAAGTGATGGCCTTGCCCTATCTCCATGGAGATGCTCATGACACAAGTTTGTTCATGATTAAAAAAAAAACAAAACACCAAGCCCTTCACTGTCCTGTACTTTTTTTGATCTGATACTGGAGCTTGAACTCAGTGTCCCTTTGTCCCTGTGCAGTGTCCCTTAGCTTTTTCACTCAAGGCTGGCTCTACCACTTGAGCCACAACTCTACTAATGGTTTGGGGGTGGTTATTGGAAATGAGGGTGCCATAGATCTTCCTGCCTGGGCTGTCAGCCTCCTGCTCAGCCTCCGGAGTAGCTGGGCCTCCAGCTAGGAGCCACGGACACCTCACTCCTCTCTACTTTTTCTTTGGTTTTGCTTACTCTTTTTTTATTAGTTTTTTTTTTTATTTCTTTTTTTGTTTGTTTGTTTTGGAATTTGCCTATCTCTTTCACATATATTTGAGAGAAGTTGAGGAATGATTTAGAAATGGTAGACGTTAGGGCTTAGTTAGGGCGTCTTCAACGAAGACCAATCGTGCATGTGCACACACACTTTTTTTTTTAACAAAGAACGAACCAATCTGATTCTTTCCAAATAAAATGCTTATTTCAGTGTGGAAGAGTTGAAAATTGTGAGTAGTAAAATTCCATGTATGTTATATACGCTAATTTGTCTGTGTGACTGAATGAAATCTTAACTGATGCTAAGAAGATTCTAAATATCTTTACATGGCTGCATGTACAGTCCATACTGGGTGTCCACTTATGTCCATAGGGATGAAAAACGAATGGCATGGGTAATGCAGCCTAGGCTAAACAAATGAAGAAGTGGGACTTCCAGAGTAGTGCCACACTCACTAGATCAAATGACTGAATCATATGACCACAAATAGGCAAGTTACAAAATAAACATTGCTAGGAGAAAGACAAAATTTTAAATGTGCTGGGCGCCAGTGGCTCACACCTATAATCCTAGCTACTTGGGAGGCTGAGATTTGAGGATCATGGTTCAAAGCCAGCCCAGACAGGAAAGTCCATGAGACTCTTATCTCCAATTAATCACCAGAAAACTGGAAGGGGTGCTGTGGCTCAAGTGGTAGAGTGCTCACCCTGAGTTGAAGAGCTGAAGGACCAGAGTTCAAGCCACACGACCACCACCACCACCAACAAAAATGTCATTTTAATCTAGATGATCAGCCACACAATTACAGACACATGCCTTAAAACTAGAAGGTGGGGGGGGGGGTGGGCGCCAATGGCTCACACCTGTAATCCTAGCTACTCAGAGATCTGAGGATTGCTGTCAAAGCCATACTGGGCAGGAAAGTCCATGAGACTCTGATCTCCAGTTAACCACCAGAAAACTGGAAGCGCTGTGGCTCAAGTTGTAGAGCGCTTGCCTTGAGCTGAAGAGCTCAGAGACAGTGCCCATGCCCAGAGTTCAAGCCCCACAACTGACCCCCCCCCCCCAAAAAAAAGCAGGAGACAGGTAACATTTTTAGAGCAATTTTCATGGTATTAGTTATGGTGGGAGATAAAAGGTTTGCCTTCAATTCCCTTTTCTACAGGGTATTCTTTATACTGCTCTTGCCTGTGAGGTCATGGGCCAAGTATTCCTGCTCTTTTTTTTTCCTTTTTTTTGTGCCAGACTTGGGGCATGAACTCAGGGTCTGGGTGCTGTCTCTGAGCCTCTTTTGCTCAAGGTTAGCACTTTACTACTTGAGCCACAGCCCCACTTTGGGCTTTTTCTGTTTTTCTGTTTTTCTGTTTTTGTGGTACTGAGGAATTATACCCAGGGCTTCATGGCAAGCACTCTACCAGTAAGCCACATTCCTAGCCCCTCTTTTTTTTTTTTTTTGTCAGATTTGGGGGGTTTTTGTTGTTGTTTTGTTTTTTTGTTGTTTCTGTTTTTGTTTTGTCAGTTGTGGGTCTTGAACTTGCAGCCTAGGTGCTGTCCCTGAGCTCTTATTGCTCAAGGGTAGCACACTACCACTTTGAGCCACAGCTCCACTTCCAGTTTTTTAGTAGTCAATTGGTAATAAAAGTCTCACGAACTTTCCTGCCCAGGCTGGCTTTGAATCGTGATTCTCAGATCTCAGCCTCCTGAGTAGCTAGGATTACAGGTGTGAGCCACCAGCAGTAGGTTCTGCCGGCTTATTATGTTCATAGCTGAGAGCTATTACGTGAACCTGTTTAGCTAGACTCAATCTTGTGCAAGCAACTATACCCTCTGTCTCTGGAAGACACCCCAAAAACACCTTTACTGTGTTCATAAACAAAGGGCTCTGACCCTTTCCGTTTGAATTTAGAAGTCCCAGGATTATTTCAGACACCACTCTGCTCGATCACCTCCATTACTAGTCAGTCCTACTGATGCGTGGCAATGTGTATCGATCACCTGTCTGTTAGCATCAGCTCACATTCAAAAACCCCATTGATGTGAGGCCCACTGCCTCTGCAGTCACATTCACTTTGTGTATCTTCATTTTCTCTGATGTTGGTGGTGGTGGTAGTAGTAGTGGTCATGGGGCTTGAACTCAGGGCCTGGGTGTATGCCTAGGCTTTTTTGCTCAAGGTTAGCACTCTGCCACTCTGAACTTACTTCCAGTTTTCTGATAGTTATTTGGAGATAAGAGTCTCACAGACTTTCCTACCCAATCTGGCTTTGAACCATGATCCTCAGATCTCAGCCTCCTGAGTAGCTAGGATTATAGGTGTGAGCCAGCAGCAGCCAGCCCACATAGTGTTTTAAGACTTAATTGTGAGAATATTTGAAACACAGGTAGCTTGGACAAACTGAAGTGTTTGTTGTTGTTGTTCTGGGGGTGTATGTGTATGTGCGCGTGTGTGTGCTGTCCTTTGGCTTTTCGTTTTTCCTCAAGGCTAGCACTCCATTTCTGTCTTTTTCTGTTGTTATTGCTAGTCAAGGTTGTTCAAGGGTAACACACTACCACTTGAGCCACAGGAGATAAGAGTTTCACAGACTTTCTTGCCCAGGTTGGTTTTGAATCTCAGCCTCCTGTGTGGCTAGGATTACAGGTGTGAGCCACAGGCACCTGATTTACTTCTGGCTTTTTTTTTTTTTTTTTTGGGTGGGGGCTGTGAGGTTTGAACTCTGGGCTTGGGCAGTGACCCTCAGCTCTTCAGCTCAAGGCTAGTGCTCTACCACTGGAGCCACAGTGCCACTTCCAGTTTTCCGGTGGTTTATTGGAGATAAGAGTCTCATAGACTTTACTACTCAGGCTGGCTTTGACTGCCATCCTCAGATCTCAGCCTCCTGAATGGCTAGAATTATAGTCATGAGCCACTACAGCCCAGCCCCTATGTATCTAGGTGGGGAGGGGCGGGGGGGGGGGGGTAGAAGGAGGGAGGAAAACTTGGCACTAGTCCACAGAAATTGGCCAGAGCTACACAGAGTCCCCAAACACATTCATCTCACCCTCCTGGCCTTTGTGGGCACATGAGTTTACAGCCCCTATTTATTTGTATTTTGGCAGTACTGGGCTTTAAACTCAGGGCCTTGCCCTTCCTAGGCAAGCACTATGGCTGAGCTATGCCTCCAGCTCTTTTAGGCACTAGTTGTTTTGTGCTTAGGCCATGCTTCCTGCTAAGCATATGTCTGGACTCTGATTCACCTATTTCAGGCATCCCATCATAGCTGGGATGACCAGCATGCCACCACCATTCCAGTGTTTTCCATAGAGATAGTGTGACAGATTTCCCAGGCTGGCCTCCAAGTGTGATCCTTGTAATCTCAGCCTCCCACATGTCTAGACTGAGAGGCACATGTCCCCATCCCAGTTATGGGTTGAGAAGGGATCAGGGGCACTTTTTTTTTTTGCCCAGCTGGCCTCACTCTCCCAAGCAGCTATAATTACAGAAGTGAGTTACAGCCCCTATTTGTAAGTTGTATACGTGTTCAAGAAAGTTTTCATTGTCACCCTGAATGATTTACGTTTTTCTCTGTTTCTGCTTCTTTCTCTTCATGTCCTCCTTTGTTTTCTACTGCCTCTGCCATTCCACAGGTCCTGGGTCTACTGGTATGGACAATGATTGCTGGAACGGAGTACTTCCGGGTCCCTGCGTTTGGCTGGGTCATGTTTGTGGCTGTCTTTTACTGGGTCCTCACTGTCTTCTTCCTCATCATCTACATCACCATGACCTACACCCGGATTCCCCAAGTGCCCTGGACAATGGTGGTAAGGAAGCCCAGGGCTACAGCCCTGCCCTATGCCCAGGAGCTGGGCCACATGTCCAATTGTCAATTCAAGATCACCACTCAGCCCTCACAGGGACCAAATCTGAAGACACTGGTCAGCAAGTAATCTCCATGTTATTCGATGGTCTCTGCATGTGTTATTTGAGTGTGAAAACAGGCACATTGGAAGAACTAGAATTCCTTTTAGGCCCAATAGCAAACCAGTTCTCAAGATTCAAGATCATCTGGGTTCTCTATTATATAGACATTTTAAAAATTAATTTTCTGTAAATTGTACCACCTAGAAACAAGTGTATCTGACACCATCCCACACAGGATCCTTCAAACTTTTTTTGGGGGGCAGAGGGAGTAACAAGTCTTGGGGCTCAAATTAAGATCTGGATCTGGTCATTACATTTTTCCACTGAAGGCTGGTACTCTGCCACTTGAGCCACACCTCCACTTTTGGCTTTTTTGGTAGTTAATTGGAGATAAGAGTCTCCAAGACTTTCCTGTGTGGGCTGGCTTTGAACCATGATCCTTATATATCAGCCTCCTGAGTAGCGAAGATTATAGGCAGGAGCCACTGAGGCCTGGCTTCAAATCTCGCTTTAACCGATTGTATGCCAAGCTCTTGGGTGTTGAGGAATACTATCTGTGAACACAAAGGCTGGAAAATAACAATACTACTTAAACTAATAGGCCAGGTGCTGGAGTGAGGCAGAGAAGAACACTTGTTTACCATGTGTGAGGCTCTGGTCCCTGCTTTTTCCCAGCTGTGTACTTGGCCCAACCCTTACCACACCTGGGTGCAGTTCTGACCACTTGTGAAGTGGCCCTTCCCTCATACTATCTCTCCGCCTTCCCTAGGGCCTGTGCTTTAATGGCAGTGCCTTTGTCCTGTACCTCTCAGCTGCTGTGGTGGACGCATCTTCTGTCTCCCCAGAGAAGGACAGTCACAACTTCAACAGCTGGGCAGCCTCCTCTGTGAGTGAGCTCTCTACCCATCCCCCTCAGTCCTCCATCTCCTTCCCCATGGCCTTCTGGGCATCAGGGAGAGAGTCAAGTTACCTGTAGGACAGAGTGCCACTTGCAGTAGTGCCAATGGGCAATTAGCTGATTAGTTGGAAAAGATAAAAAATTGTTGGGACTTCTTGGTGGTCTGCCAGGCTCACAAGGCTGAAAGCCACGCTGGCAAGTGAGAGCCAAATGCCAGATCAAGGAATGGAAGGGGAAGAGCTGTTGGGAGTTACAAAGTGTGGGAGCTCACAAGAAGTGAGCGTAATTATAGCCGTGAGCCATCAGCACTTGGCGGTATACTGTTTTTTAAACCATAACTATGTATAATTTCGCCAATTTAAAGAACTAGTTTTAGCAGGGCACCAGGGGCTCATGTCTTGGCTAATCAGGAGGCTGAGACATGAAGATGGCGGCCAGCCTAGGTAGGAAAGTCAATGAGACTCTTATCTCCAATAAACCACTAGAAAACCAGAAGTGGCGCTGTAGCTTAAGCGGTAGAGCACTAGCCTTGAGCTGAAGAGCTCAGGAACAGCGCCCAATCCCAGAGTTCAAACCCCAAGACCGACAAAAAAAAAGAATCTCTTGGACTTTTTTCTGCTCGGGCTGGCTTCAAACCAATATCCTCAGATCTCAGGCACCTGAGTGGCTAGGATTGCAGGTGTGAACACGAGCACCTGGCTGGTCTGCTCATTTCTAGAGCTGACTGTAACTCTCTGAATTTGGACCCTAGTCTGCAACTGTCTGAACTAAATTAGAAGTGATATTCTTTCTTTTCTCAGATGCACAGCCACCAGTCCTTGTGTGTGTGTGCATGTATGCATGCACACATACAACAGTTCTGAGGTTTGAATTCGGTCTGGGCACTGTCCCTTAGTTTTTATGCTCAAGGCTGGTATTCTACCACTTGAGCCATACCTTTACTTTTGGTAAAGGTTAATTGGAGATTAAATCTCATGGACTTTCCTGCTTGAGCTGGTTTCAAACCTTGATCCACAGATCTCAGCCTTTTGAGTAGCTAGGATTACAGGTGTGAACCACCACACCTGGATTCACATTCACTTCTCCAAGGTTATTTACGTAAAATTCCATTTCAGATTCATTTAAAAAATAAATAAATAAAAATTTGAGAAAGTCAGAAATCATTTGAAAAGGAAGATAATAAAGTAATTTTATCTGAGAAATCTGGCATGTTGTAAATGAGTGATTTAGTGGAGATCAAATGAAACTCATTCTAATAAGAATGTGCTCTGATTCCATTTCTATTATGCTTTGTTTTCTCTAGTTCTTTGCCTTCCTGGTTACCATCTGCTACGCCGGAAACACCTATTTCAGTTTTATAGCATGGAGATCCAGAACTGTTCAGTGATTTACCATTTTGATAATTAAAAGGGGGGGGAAAGCCCAGAAGAATTTCACTGTAAAAACAGCTGTAGGTATAATGTATATTTCCACAAAATTGTATTTAACTAATGTTTTTATATACTTAGTTAAATCTGCTGGCAGTGGTTTGTTACAATTAAACTGGATACTTATTTGCAAAGTGCTGTAGCTTATAATGAACTCTTAAGTATTTTGTTGGTGTCTTCATAAATAATACAAAAATAAAATTGCTAATACTAAGAGTGTGTCAGGGACTAAGTGCTGATATCTCATGGCTATAATCCTCCTAACTCAGGAGACTGAGATCTGAGGATCAAGGTTCAAAGCCAGCCCAGACAGACAAGTTTATGAGAGCTGTGGCTCAAGTAGTAGAGCCACCAATTAAATAAGGGCATGAAGTCTGGAGTTCAAACCCCACTACTGGTATACCCACCCACACACCCCCAAAAAAGGTATCAAATTTATAAACCTGACTTTTAAAATTACAGATTCTTTCATGATTAAATGTGGGGAAACCTCAACCAAGGTTGTCTACTTGAAAAAGGAGACAGAAACAGGAGCTGAGGCCAGGTGCCATGGGAAAACTCCAACTCTCACAGCATGCCCAGGGGCGCTATTGTCCAGGGACACTTGTCCACAGTCACCAGGGCAGGGTGGCAGGAGAGACTGATCTCCTCAGCTCTGGGGATCTCAGTGCCCATGACTCACCATCCCTGCAAGTGATCCAGAAAGCATGCAATGAGACTTTGCCTTCAGCTAATGAGCTTCTGCTTAATGGGGTTCTAATACAAGTTAAAATGAGTATACAGCCATAAAAAGGTTAAATGTGTTCATCTACCTTGAAATTATCTTGCTGACCCTAGAGATGATACATATGTACCATATTTTGTGGAAACTTCTGGACCAAAAAGTTCCAACATCTCAAATCTTTTGCATAAATATATTGTAAGGTTGTTACTGAATAGTGGGGAGAAGGCAAAACAGGCAGGCAGGTGTGCACTTATAGGAGGTGATTTTAGGCCGAAGGTTCTTGCTGGCATAGCAGGTATCTTGGGTGATTTTCAACATGAACCTTTTGTGTGTGTGGGGTGGGGGGGGGCGTGAGTGTGGGTGTGGGTGTATGTGTGCTGGTCCTAGGGCTTGAACTCAGGGCCTGGGCACTGTCCCTGAGCTCTTTTGCTTAAGGCTGGCACTCCATCACTTGAGTCACAACTCCACTTCCAGTATTTATGGTTAATTGGAGATAAGCATCTTATGGACTTTCCTGCCTGACTGGCTTTGAACCACGGTCCTCAGAGCTTAGCCTCCTACACAGCTAGGATTACAGGTATGAGCCACCAGCACCTGACTTCAACATAAACTTTAAAAAAAACAAAACAGAAGCCAGATGCTGGTGGCTCATACCTGTAATCCTAACTACTCAAGAGGCTAAGATCTGAGGATCACGGTTCAAAACCAGCCCGAGCAGGAAAGTCCCAGAGTTCAAGCCCCACCACCGACAAAAAAAAAAAAGTTTCCATTGATGGAATAAAGAGAGTTGAAACCATGCCCTGTGCTCTCTCAGATTTCTCTTGGGCTCTCACTTTTAGTAGTGCTATTTTACCTGGATGTTGGTGACTCACATCTGTAATCCTAACTACTCGAGAAGTTGACATCTGAGGATCACAGTTCAAAGCCAGCCCAGTTGATACTCAATTCCACTTGACTATCAAAAATCCAGAAATGGAAATGTGGCTCAAGTGGTAGAACACTAGCTTTGAGCAAAAAAAGCCTTGAGTTTACACCCCAGGACCAGCATGCACATATGTATGTGTGTGCACCTGCGCACACATGCGCAGAGTAGTGCCAGTTCTTCCTGTTGGGGGCTGTTTGGATGGATCCTCCTCTTTATCTGGTTCTAGCTTCTTCTCCAAGCTCTAGTTACCCCTTTGTAAGATAATTGGAAGAGCACCCCAAGACCTTCAAAAGTGCCAGTGAAGGATGCTTTTAGGTTGTGGGGAGAGCACTCCAAAAATGAGAAGTGGATGTAGAGTATGGGGTGAGGGAAGTGTCACACAGGGAAAAGCTGAGCCAGCAGTTAGCAAGGTCAGTTTCTCATGGCAACCTGCAGCTCCATGCAGTCTGTGGAGCTGACTCTGTCATCCCAGGAGCAGCGGCGCCTGCTGACTTTGCACAAAAACCAACATGAAGCCGGGCTCTCTATAATCCTAGCTACTCAGGAGGCTGAGATCTGAAGATTGCAGTTTGAAACCAGCCCTGGCTGGAAAGTCCATGAGACAGCTCCAATTAACCGTCAGAAAACCAGAAGTGACACTGTGGCTAGAAAGTCATAGAGCATTAGCCTTGAGCAAAAGGAGCACGGGACAGCACCCAGGCAGTAACCCGTGGACGATTTTTGAAATGGTTAAAAAAATGACCTTTTCTATGTGCCGTGGGAGAATGTCACCTCTGTAAACATGGCCAGATGTATACAAGGTAACGGGGAGTAGAAAGTGTCCCCCAATGCTGGGTGCCAGGGCTCACACCTATAATCCTAGTTACTCAGGAAGCTGAGATCTGAGGGTCAAGATTCAAAGCCAACCTGGACAGGAAAAGTCCTTGAGACTCTTATCACCAGAAAGCCAGATATGGAGCTATGGCTCAAGAGATAGAGTGCTATTTTTTCTCAAGTGGGTGGGAGCTAGGCTGGATGAATTTCTCAATACCTCGGCTGCTTGTGTGCATGTTTAAAAGTTTTTCCATAGCAGACTTTGATATTTTTTGTTTGTTTGTTTGAGCCACAGTCTCATATTAGCCCAGGTTGGCCTGGGACTTGAGATCTTCTGACTTCTGAGTTCTGGAACTGCAGGTGTGTGCTGCTCTGCCCAGCTCAGAATAGAATTTCTAGAAGATCAAGTGCCTGAAGGATGGGTGGGGCTGGCATTCCTGTGGTCTCAGCCACAGCCTGAGCAGAAGCCTCCAGGGCAGGTGTCCAAGCTGGAGACACAGCAGTGGGGAGCTGTGGCTGGATTCAACACCAGAGAAAAGCTGGGTACTGCCGCCTCACGCCTGTCATTCTAGCTCCTCAGGAGGCTGAGATCTGAGATCAAAGTTCAAAGTCAGCCCAGGCAGAAAAGTCCATGAGACTAATCTCCCAAGTAACCACCAGAAAACCGGAAGTGACGCCATGGCTCAAGTGGTAGAGCGCTAGCCTTGAGCTGAAAGGCTGAGGGGCAGCGCCCAGGCCCAGAGTTCAATCCCAGGGCAGGCACATGCGTGTGTGACCTCTAAGTTCACTATAATTTTATACCTTTCTTGAACACATAGCACTGAAGAGACTGATTTCTAAAGCCCAGGATAAAGTACATTCAACCAGAGGCACTTGCTGTGTTGTGTTTATTTGCGGTTTTTCAGGAGCATGACTCTTCAAGCTACCCTGAGATTTCACCAAAACAACAATAAGCATCTGTTTTTGACCAGAAAACAATTGTTAGTTCCTCTTTTGGTCTTGAGTTTCTATGTTTGGGGTTTTAAGACAACAAAGTGTTTCTCTATTGTTAGAGATGAAGCTGTATGTTTTGAACTGGTTTTATTGATTTTTTTTTTTTCCTCAAGAAAATGGATTCCCAACACAGTGGCTCACATTTGTAATCCCAACTACTCAGAAAACATGTATTGAGAGGATTGAGATCTGAGACCAGCCCAGGCAGAAAGACCCCATCTCAAACAACAAGTTAGGTTTGGTGGCATACACCTGTCATTCCAGCTACTAGGAGGCATAGGTAGGAGGATCATGGTCCAAGGCTGCCCCCAGGGAAAAACATGAGACCCTAACTGAAAAATAAACAGAAGAGCTGGGGTTGTGGCTCAGGTAGTAATGCACCTGTCTAACAAATGGGAAGCCCTGAGTTGAAAGAAGGAAGAAAGAAAGAAGAGAGAGAGAGAGAAAGGAAGGAAGGAAGGAAGAAGGGAAGGAAGGAAGGAAGAAGAAAAAAGAGAAGGAAGGTAAGGCAGGCCAGGCACCACCAGCTCATACCTGTAATCCTAGCTACTCAGGAGGCTGAGATCTGAGGATCACAGTTCAAATCCAGCCCCAGGTAGGAAAGTTCCTAAGACTCTTTTTCTAGTCTTGGGGCTTGAACTCAGGGCCTGGGCACTGTTCCTGAGCTTCTTTTGCTCAAGGGTAGCACTCTACCACTTGAGCCACAGCACCACTTCCAGCTTTTTCTATTTATGTGGTACTGATCAAACCTAGGGCTTCATTTCATGCCAAGCACGCACTCCCAGCCCTTCCTGAGACTCATCTCCAATTAGTCACCAGGAAACTAGAAGTGACACTGAGTTCAAAATGATAGATCACTATCCCTGAGTGAAAAAACCTCAGGGATAGCACCCAGGCCCTGAATTCAAGCCCTATAATGGACCAAAAAAAAAAAAGAAGAGAGGGAGGGAGGGGGGAGGGAGAGGAAAGAAAGAAAAAGAGCAAGGAAGGAAAAAAGAAAACAAAAACCTCACAAAATACAGCCAACATTAAGAAAAGGTTTCTGGGGGATTGAAAAGTTTTAGTACTGGAATACTTACAATATATCAACATCTGAACATCTGTGTTCACCTCTAAGCCTCTCATGGCCTTTTAGATGTAGCTGGGGGGAGGGGAGGGAGGTGGTATTAGTTTGATATATTTACCCACTCCTGAGAAATCAATAAAATATTTTAGGTAACTAATCACTTTCCATTGCTATTTTAAGCTCATACCCCCAAAAGATAAATGCATAGCCAATGTTTGAAAACTATAAGAAAATGTAGAGACCTGAACATTCAATATCAATCATTTATTTTCAGATTTGTAAATTGCTCCCTTCATGGGAAAATCCCTTCAGGGTGTTAACATATAAAAGATTTTACAACTAAACGATTTGGGTAGAGCTTAGAGACTTGGAAATGCTAACTGAATGCACCTCTAGGTAGAAAAATCAACTTAAAATCTGTGTTTTTGTTCCCTAGACAATTATCGTTTTAATTAACAAGATGGATTTTCATAGAAGACATGGGGTTATTGAAATTTAATGGAAAAGATGGATTGTCAAAGATTGTATACTGCTACAATGTAAGCATGTATGCTTACACACACATGCCCCCTGGAGGGAGCTGGCTTAGCCTTAAATAAATGTCCTTGCTGGCAGGAGGCTGAAATCTGAGGATTATCATTCAAAGCCAACCTGGTCAGGAAAGTCCCTGAGACTCTTATCTCCAATTA